AATCAATAAATCAATAAATAAGGAAATAAAAATGGTTAACATCACTACCCATGTAGGTTTTGGGTCACCTCCTTTTTTTATATTTGATCTATTTTAGAGAAACATTCACAGGCCTCACAATTTCTTTGTACCCAAGCTTACCTTTGCAATACCTATTGAGGTTCCATATCTGTGGGGCATTACTGAACTTAATATTTTCTTACATGAATTCCCTTTCAATGTCCTTTCTTTTGTTGTTTTTGGAAATACGTAATAGGAGGATTGTTATTCCAGCCAGTGCGTTTGACTCCAAGGTGAAGTTCCTGGAGAAGACTAGGAAGAGTTTTGGAGGAGGCACATTCAACATTAATGAGGGTGCTTTACTTGAAAACTACTATCTCTTCTTAAAAGAAGAGTACAATGAGGGTGTGCCAAGGCAATACTTTGCTGCAGAGTGCATCGGTTTGCAGAAGTCCAAAAATGATTACTGGTGTCTTTCTAGTGAGGTATGTGTAATCAGTATACAATTTGCAATGTGTAGTTCCAAAAAATATCCATACCCTCTGATCACCATGGAGGCTGGGTGGAAATTCCACAGAATGGGTGCAGTTGTTATCTGAATTTCAGCCATCGCCTCTCCCTAACCCATGAGGGACACAGGAGAAACTCTCCAGCCCCCCCTCCTAACCAATGTGTTAGGGGGAGGAGACAGTTGAAGTTCTGACTAGGTGCCTTGAAGTCCAAAATTTGTTAAAGTAAGGTATGATGTTGAAGTGGAATTTCTAGATTGGAGGGGTGGCTCAAGCCAATAAACCCTATGTCTTATGAGTTTGAATATTTTCTGAAACAACTCTAAAGACCTTCTGTTTAGTTACTAATGTTACTATTCCTGGGGCAGGTACTTTTGGTATTGGGAGTGAGTGTACATGTGCCCAGGAATTCTTGTCCAATTAATAGACCATGTTGACTTTAATTTTTCTGCCCTATCCTCTCCTATTCAGCTATCCTATGACTATGAACCAGAGACTCCAATCTTCAGACCACTAGCGATGGCATGAACACTTTCCCTTAAATGATACCTTGTTCCATACCAACACCCTCTGATGACAGAACAAGATTGGTCAATAATGCATATGTAGCACACAATAAAAAAAAGGATCTAGAATTAATAATTGTCATTTACTGCAACTAATTTAAGAAAAATAATCTTTTGCTGTCAATTTCATTTTTGTTTGTGTTAGATTCATGTATGTAATGGCATGATATTGCCTAAGGAGAATCAGCGCTTTCTCTTTCCAAATGACCTATTGTACCCATATGAAGTCATCGTCAACCGTTCCCTGCTTGAGGACAATATGCATTGCCGTAATGTTTGTAAAAGGTAATTACTGGTAAATAATATGAAAATATACAGTGTAGTGGAACTTTTCGCACCAACAAAATATATCGATGATGTGTTCAGAACTTTAAATGACGCAGTCATTTAAATGTAATGTATTTCCCAAAGATGAACAGGAATACAATTTGCTTAATGACCTACACTGTAGTCTGAGGTATAATTCTCCACAGCATACCAGTTTTATTATAACAATAACTTGACAAGTCTTTAAAGAAACTGTAATTGCAAATTATTTCTTGAGTTTGGATATACCGGTACATTTCAGTTCAAGCTTTAATTGGTAATGTGACAATTATTATTGTACAGTGGCATCTTGAGTATAATGAAATATTCTCATTCATTTGATATCCTTATAAATTTGTATTTACCACTGAAAAGTCCTGTTTAGGGATTGACACAAGTTTTTAATTTAATCCTCCTGGCAGATTTATTGAGGCCTCTTCTGTCTTTGGCGTAAACCACATATCTTTAAAACTGGCCACAGCTTTCCTGCTCCTCAGGTTGTTAAGGATAAATGATGAGGAGTCTTGGAGTAAGTAAACCAATGTGTCGTAAAAAATATTCATGCTCTCTGGACAGAGTGCAATAAATGGAAAAAAAATAAGGGAGATCAGGGTCTCTTAGAATTTGTTCTAAAGGTGGAATTTCCAGTGGGAGGTGTGGTGTGTCTGTATGTGTGAGCCAGGGGGTGGGGAGAGTCAAACCATGAATAACCCTAAGGGAGCATGAATATGTTCAGGTTGATTAACTCTGAAAATTTTCTTATTAATCCCTTTAACCATCCTAGGCAAATGCTAAATTTCTTTGAATGGTATTTTCTAGTGAAAAGGGTGCAGGGGAGGTCAGCGATCATGAAAAGACGGCCATAAGTTCAAAATGAAAAATAAAAACACTTAAATTTTTTGTTGCCTTGTATACATGGGGTATACCCCTAAACTTAATCTTAAAATGCAGCTCTAAGAGCATTGGTTGTTGTCATGTATTACCTTGACCATCCAAAACTGTAAAAGAATAAAAATTTGCAGGGATGGTGAATCAAGTCTTAGGTTGAAGGGGGCATGATTTTATGCCTTCAATGTGAAAATTTCATAAAATTTGATTGAACATTGAGTTACATAAAATGGTAATTCGTGCCACATGTGGCACTGTTGGACAGTAAAGGGATAAAATCATAATGTACGGATCTCATTCTATTTTGACATTTGTGCCAGTTCAACATTAATTGCAATATCATAAATTAAGTCCTTTGATGTTGGTAAATTTTCCCAGATGAAAGTTCCATTGGCCTCCTTCATTCATCAATCGATGAAAGAAATGTCAGAAAATCTTTAACTCTGGACTTCTTGGCTAAAGGTCAAGGTGTTGCCACCCGGAAACATCCAACCATGCTAGCGGGTGGGGATCAAAATCAATGTCACAGGGGCATCAGTGTAAGTTAAATAGTACAAGTTGACTTATTAATTATAAAATGTCTTAGTGTGGGTATATGAAAATTTTCTTGTCAGTGGGACAATGCATTATGTGATCATGTTTTACATGAAATATAATGTCACGAATGAATGAAGTGTTAAACAGAGTATCGCCCAATGTGCGAACTCAAATATTGGAATATATACCTAATAGGTATTGTTCTAGGATTAACAATGAACTAATTTATTTCATTTTTTTCCTACAGTCCGGTGATCAAGGATACGCTCTCAAAAACTAACTTGATGGTCATGATAGATGACCCCATCATTTCCACAAATCTGGCCGAACTACTGCTCCAGGTGCAGAGTGGCCTGACAATGGGGTCCAGGAATGCAGGCATGACAACACCTGGGGGTAGCCTGCTTCTAACCTCCAACAGTACAGTTACTCAAAGGTAAAATGACCTGCACACAGTGTATAGCATGCTGTTGTTCATAAAGGGTACAATTCCAGGGTTTCAACCCGGTCTGATAGATAGAAACATAAATCGATTATTATGAAACCACCTTGCAGTCCAAAGACTGAATTACATATTTAATTACATTTATGAAATTAAAAAACTTTCTGAATGTACTCATTATGATTGTTAATAAGTGTTATGGGTTAGGAGACACCGGAGTTCATGAACATATATGTTAAATATGTGTGACATATATGTGATTCATTATTTTACAAATTAAACATATTGACCATGTCACCTAAATATACTATCAATGTACACCAGTTTAAAAGTTATCTTGGGATATGCTTTTATTAATAATGTTTGTGCTGACAGGGTAGTGAATATCACTCTTACTCATCACTAAAGGTTAGTA